TTTATAACTTAGAAAATCAGTATAAAAGAGTATCCCAAGTTTGTGTTAAAAATAAACTATGTGCATATGTATGGACAAAAAAAATCTGAAAGATTGGTTTTATGCCAGAATGTTAAGAATAATGATCTCTGGCCAATAGGATCATGGGTGATTTTTGTTTGCTTTCTTTATATTTTTCTATATTATTGAAATTTTCTATAATGACCACTTTTAGAAGGAAAATCAAATGTTGTTTTTAAAAATTTACAAGACTGATGGCGTGTACATTTTTAGTAGTCTTTCGTTTTCAACCTGTTATTCCTCTTGTTTCATAGCCCTGATTATAGTTTTCTTATAGTTTATTTATTCACTCATTTTTTAATATGGAAATTGGAAAAGAATAAGGACATTTCAGGTATGTCATATAAAGTTCATTCTCTCAGTACTTTACATTTAAGCCATATCTTTAGTTTTCTGTTTTTTTATTATTATTATCATTATTATTATTTTTAGAGACAAACTCTTACTGTGTTGCCCAGGCTGAAGTACAGTGAGTGGCCTGATCATACCTCACTGTAATCTCCATTTCCTGGGCTCAAGCGATCCTCCTGCCTCAGCCTCCCAACATGCTGGGATTACAGGCATGAGCCACCACACTCAGCCTAAGCCATACAGATCACTTAAAAATAGTTGCTGTCTTTTTGTTTAAATCATTGCCTTTATTTATATACCTTTTTATTTTAATAAGAAAATGTCCTAGATTCCTGTTAAGCTTTCTTCTTTGGTTTAATATGCATGTTTATATCTTAGGGAAAAGAATGTAGTAGATTTTTCTCTAAAAAAGTCTTAAGAATTTTAAGACATTAAGTTGATTTTGTTGGATAACTTTCATGTAAGTAAAATTAAACAATGAATTACAATTTTTTACATAGAAATACTCTGTAATAAATAATCTAAAGTTTTTATATTATATAAGTTCATTTTAAACAAATGGAGTCCTCTTTTTAGTCTGTATTAAGAAGCCATACCAAAATCTAAAAACTGCTGTATTATAGCCTAAATGTCCTATAGGTTAATTCTTCAAAAATGTAATAACATTAAGAGTATTTTTTTTTCAGGTAGAAGTTCTATCTGGTGCTTTAACATTGCTCACCTTTTAAAATCCAATAAATGATCTTGTTTTTCATTTCTCAGAGACTTGACAGCTATAGCCTCTAGAATAAATGTAGATGGCTATGAATAAACTTATTAGAATGTAAAGGAGATATTTAAAACATTCCACTGATGTTACCAATATACCTTGACCATCCTGTCTGGAAGTAACCTTATTCCTTTGTACTAGTCACCTCATTTGTTACATTGCTCATTCATCTGTTCATTCATCTATTCATAAAATATTTATGTATCCACTCTGATGTCAGTAGGTATAGGGGATTGAAACATCAATTAGGAATGACTAAATATCTTAAAGCACCTGCAGAGTTTAGTGGGAATGAATAGATGCACAGAAAATTCTTTAATATGTTGTGTATACAAGTGTTGGAGTTGCAGAACCGGGAAAGATTTCTTCTAGGGAAATAAATGGGTATAAGAAGTGGCATTTGCCTGGGACCCTTGACAAGCAGGTAAAGGTGTCATTTGGCATTACACTGTCTATATTATTCACTGTTCACAAGTGTGTGTCTTTTTTTCCTTAGCTGGTCTGAAAATCTTCTGGTGGAATGTGGTAGGCCCTCAATATACCTTTACATGATCAATACTGATTTACATTTGCTGCCTGTCCAAGACACTGCCAGATAATTTCTTCCATAAATGCTACTTTTAAAAATAATTTCATTTGAATTTCTTTTGTTTACAGGATTGGTAGTACAAAGATTTAAACAGTTTACTGCTGAATTTTATTTCTTCTGTTTAAAAAACTCATCTATCATTGATGTTAGGTTTGAGATGAATAGTGAAAATCATTAGCTCTTGAAAAATCCTATTATTCCCGCATCATGTTTTTGTGCTAACCCCTTAAAATTAAATAGTGAAAAAGACAGACATGGTCTCTGCCCTCATGAAACTTATTCGTGAAGAATTTGAATTTTCTATGTGTGGACCAATCAGAATGTGATTCGTCAAGATCCAGGGAAAGAATGACAGGTCCTTAAGTTTTGTTCTGTTTTTTTTTTTGTTTTGTTTTGTTTTGTTTAACTATCACTTTATGAGGGAAAGGGGAAACTGGCATGTATTCAGCTTCTACTAAGTGACACCACTGTGCTGGACATTGTATACAAAATATTGATAAGAATGATATTGTCAACAAAACAAAGAACAAACCAAAGAGAAATCAGAAGCATTAGTGGAAAAAGAAAAACTTTTGCGAGTTCCTCTTCTCACTTCCTTTTTTCTTCCTACAAGATTCTTCTTGATGAACTATCTTCTACTAAACATTGGGCGTCCTTGCACGTTTCAGACCACAGTGGATTTCACTACCGCCAGTTTTTGTTAAAGTCTTTGATTAGCCAAACTGTGATAGACAGTTCTGTGTTGGAGCAAAACCCTTTGAGAAGTGAGTCAGCGCTAGTTCTTCCAAAAGATGAAGAAGCAGCAGCTTCAACAGAGGAACCAAGGATAAATCTCCCTCATCTTCTAGAAGAAGAAGTTGAATTCAGCACTGATCTTATCGATTCCTACCCAGGACATGAAACCCTTTGGTGTCATAGGTAAGAGAAGAGAAAATCCATTTTCTGCATAAAACCACATGTCCTTATGAGAGCTGCAGGACGTATTACACCTAATTCTTGCCTGCTTGAGTAAACATGGTCATCTGATTGTGGAGCTTTGACTGAGTGAGTGTGAGAGGGTTTGTGTTACCATAGCATCATCACCATCAATGTGAGATTGCTCATGCAGATCTCTGCCTATAGCTTAGGATAGTGGTATTCAACCATGACTGTGTAACAATTACCTGTGCTACTTCCAAAATAAAACAAAAACAAGCAAAATAAAGTAGTAACAAGTTTTTGGACCCCCTTCTTGGAAATCCTTCTATTTAGCATATCTAGGATGGAGTGCTGCCTTCTGTTTTTTAAAACAAAAGAAAAAACACTTAACATAATTTAACTTAACACAGTCAGTACTGAGACTACTGATTAGACCCCACGAACAAGGTAAGCTTTATCATTCTCAGACCCTGATGGTCTGCAAATTAACTTACTTTATGTATAATATCTTGACACTTTTTGATTATCTAAAGAATAAGAGAATTTGTCTTTGGGAGTGGGGAGAGACTGGTAGGAAGGAATGAAAGAAGGTAAGCGATCTATTAACCTGAGTTTTGAGTACATTTGACAGTAAAGCAAATTTCATATTGGAATGAAGTCCAGGTATATGAACCCCCTCCTTGCTTCATTTATTTCAGATCTTCCTTTATTTGGAGACATCTCCACCTTCTTAAATACAGATTCTCTACTTCAGGCCATAAGATTCTATTTATAAACAAAAGACTTGCCTCTGCTAGGCAGGAGGTAGGCATTTTTAAAAATTTGTGTATTTCTGAAGTTATTAAGATTTTCCCCCTTTCTCCTGTCTAGTCTTTCTTGTAGTCTATGTGAGGAAACCTGGTCAGCTGTTATCCCATGCTAAATATATTCAGAAGACAGAAGACCATCTCCCCTCCTTGGCACCTTCATAAGTAGAGAATTTTCTTTTTCTCTTAAAACCAATACATTCTTACTTCACATTTTCAGGAGAGAAGATAGATCTTAACTTGGCAGGTTTTGTTACAGATTTTTGTTGCTTCAGCCATACCTCAAAGATATTACAGGTTCAGTTCCAGACCACTGCAATAAAGTGAATATCACAATAAAGTGAATCATGTAAATTTTTTGATTTCCAAGTACATATAAAAGTTATGTTTATACTATATTGTAGCCTATTAAGTGTGCAATACCATGATCTCTAAAAAAATGTAGTTTAATTAAAAAATACTTCATGAATAAAAAATGCTAACAATTCTCTGAGTCATCAGTGAGTCGGTCTTTTTGCTCGGGGAGAGTCTTGCCTTGATGTTGGTGGCTGCTGACTGATGAGAGTGGTGGTTGTAGAAGATTGGGGTGGCTGTGGCAATTTCTTAATGTAAGACAACAATGAAGTCTGCCTCATCAATAGACTCTTCCTTTCATGAGAGATTTGTCTATAGCATTCAATGTTTAATAACATTTTGCCCGTAGTAGAACTTCTTTCAAAATTGGAGTCAGTCCTGTCAAACCCTGCCAGGTCAACTATATTTATCTAATGTTTTAAATCCTTTGTTGTAGTTTCAACAGTGTTCATAGCATCTTCACTAGGAGTAGATTCCATCTCATCCGTAAGAAACAACTCCTCATCCTTTCAAGTTTTACCATGAGATTACAGCAATTCAGTTACGTCTTCAGGCTCCACTTCTAATTCTATTGCTGTTTCCACCACAACATTTTTGGAGATTAGGGACATCTTCATTTTTAACAAACAATTCCAGGTGATTTTAAGGGTGGGAGAATTGATCTCCTTAGAGGGAGAACAGGAACTGTGTCTTTTAACTTGCTTTGCTCAGAGCCCAGCACATCCCCAGTGCATGTGGATATTCAAAACTATAGCGATGGATTTAAGAGAAAGTTCAGTTGGTCTCTAGATAATAAGACCAGTTGCAGCAGATCTGTTATTCTTATTAAAGAAAGTATTGGATAAAGGCCATGGAATAAGCCTTTAAAGGAAATATTTAATCCCTTATTTCTGAATCACTTGTCTTCTGAGATATCAATGAAGTTAATTTTTGGTTCTGTTTTGTATTATAATCTATAGTAGAAATTGGGCTAAGACCTAATTCTAGTTTCATGTTATAGTTAGTGACTTCATCTCAACTGTTTATCCTCCTTCCCCTAGATAACTCTGGGTTATGAAGTGGGCAGTGAACCGAGTGCTATATGTTTTGAAATTACCAACTGTTTTTTTTCTCCTGACACACTTGACTTTGTAATGTGATTTTCATTATTCTCTTCTTCCTTCTCCCCCATCACAGGCGGCATGTTTTCTACCTTCAGCATCATTTAAATGGTAGGTTTCCTCACAGCATGACTCAGTTCTCACCTGCAGACAGCCCTGGGGGGACTTTGAGTGACTTGCACCTTATTCCAGCAGGCCCCCAACTGTCTCAGGCAATGGAAGTGGATGGACTAAGTGACTCAAGCAAGCAAGGCTATTCCCAGGAAACCAAACGCCTGAAGCGGACCCCGGCTCCAGACTCCCTAGGCCTAGAAATGGAGCACAGGTTCATTGATCAAGTGTTGTCCACTTGCCGGAACGTAGAGCAAGCCAGGTTTGCCAATGCATACAGGAAGTGGCTGGTTACTTTGAGTCAATGAAAGAGGTGGATTAGTCCTCCAAAGTTCCCCTTTTAGTGCAATATTGCTTTCCTTACATTGCATGAACTGTTTACTATTATTGACTAACCATATTTTCTTCATCTTTAGGTTAAAAGTCCATAGTAAATCTTTCATTTTATTTATTTTGTAAGAACTGGCATTCCTTTGGGGCTAAAATAATTGTATAGTTCTTTCCTGCTAAACAGTGAGTCTTAAATTTTCTTTTAAACTTCTCATTCTTTATATTTCTATAGATGAGGCTTCTCATTTGGTTCTCCTAATAGGTTCGCACACACCTCCACCCACCTCAGTGCAATTGCTGCGTAGGCAAATTTTTTAAAAAATTAAAAATTTATGTTGTAATTCATCTAAAGAACATTAATACAAATGCAGAATGACTTAATGTAATTGAGAATCAAATGGCTGGATGGATGGATATGTCAAAATACAAACCAATTCTCTTCTCTAGCGTGTTCTACTCAAGTTATAGACTAACATAACCAAAGTCAGAAGTACTGGAATTTATATGAAAAAATACTTCCAATGTAATCCATTTTTAAAATGGTTATTTTAAAATAATTTAAGTGTTTATGTAATTGCAGTACTGAAAAATTATTTTTATTACTAGTTTTGATAGATTGTTTTTACCTCAAATTTGGTATATGCCAAAACACTTGTCAGCCCTTATAAAATTGATTTTTAAAAAAAACCTGGAATGCCATTTTTAGTTATTACTATTTCCCTTTTAAATTTACTTATGAAAAAACCGGGAGAAATATACATAGAAATGTATTCATAAAAATCTTTCTCTTTAAAAATTTAAATTATTGAAGATATACTAGATAAACTACAAAATTATTTTAAAGTGACTATTAAAAAGTTTACTGGCAAAAGCCAGGGGGAAACAATAGTTTTGAAGATTAGTTCTTCAGTCTTTATTTTAAAAACATAACACTTTGATACTGAACTTATCAGGGATGAGGTACCAAAGTATCCACATTATACCTGTATCTTATCTTTTTAATAACAAGGGCTGAGTTTTTCAGGTTGGTGAGGTGGGGGTGGGGAAAGGGCCAAGTAATGTCCACTTTCTTACTATATTTCCCCCTTTGTAAATGGTCTTTGTTTCTTCTTTCCACATACCTTCCTATTTATTTTGCCAATCCATTCTCTATTTTTTGTCACTTTCACTTTTGTATATTTTTCCTATCTTTCTTATTTCAGGGATGCATCCTGAAGATACTCTCCTTCCTATCTGCAATAATTTCATACCCCATCTAAAACACAGACACACAGGGGAAATAAGAACAAGAACTGCCCCTCTAAAAGTTCCTCTAATGATGTAAGCTGTCTGTTGTTCTGTGTGTGTGCAGAAAGTAATAGTGGCAGAAATAAGTGTGACCACCATGCTTTCCCTGTTCTCCTTTTTACTTGCTAGGTAATGTGTAAGGTGGGGAGAAAGATGTAGGGAAAGGCACACCTCTTCTATGTCACTATTATGAAAAGCCTGGACTTGAGTTAGGTGCATTTTGTCATGAGGAAGGAGGAGGAAGTCTTTACTTGGGCATCATGGTTTTGTTGAGTGGCAGACTGTTGAACTGAGTAAGACTTAAGAACACCAAAAATATTGACTAGCTTAGCCCTAGTAAACAGAAGTTGCTCTTCTCTCTTAGGGCAAAGAGATTACCCTTTTATAGCTTTTATAGTATTTAGGTGAGAAATAATTGCCATTATGAACATAATTCCATGTCCCTTTGTGTACAAAGCATATTTTGAATCAAATACCTCAAGGTCTACCTAGACCTCTATGAATAAAACCATTAATTAATCACTTTTAGGAAGTTGGTGGGAAACTACACAAAGAAGACATGGGAGATTCAACTCATTCCACTAATACATGTTGCCAAATTCTGGCCTCGCTCAGTATTACCTTTTTTGCAAGCATCATTTTTAATATCCTAAGTGACAAGGCTTCTTATACTTTGATATGAGAAAGTATCAGTACATGAGTATAGACAATACCCTGTGAATTAGCTACATTTTCATAGAGCTCCATGTCTTTTTATAACGTCTGCTGAGCATCTTGCCCATCTTTGGTGTTAACCATCTTTATATCTTCTAAGGCTTTTAACCTACCCCTTTCTGAATCCATGCAGTCCTTTAATATATCTTGGTCTCATGTCTTCCTAATAAGGTTTTAAGTAGGGAGTGAAAATACAAATATCCAAAGGATACTGTTAGTACGTGACTTTTGTGTGCTACTTTATTTCTAAAATTTGCATTTTTCAAGTGTTCATTCACAGAAAACTCTAGTGTTGCCCTGTATGGTTAAGTTTGTGTTCCTAAGTGGTCAACATTTAAATTCACAGGCTGTAGCATGATAGTATCTTTGACTGAGCTCATGCAGTGGAAAGGCTTTGTCTATTTTCAGGGGCTTGTTAGTCTTCACTTATTTTTCTATAAATACCTAGTTGTTAAAAGGAAAAGATGGTTTAAATTAAAACACATTTCATTAAACTTTCACTGGAAGAATAGCAAATCATTGTACCGTCCTGTGGATTAATACTACTACTGACAAGCAAAAAACAGTAAGATCTGTAAGTATCTCCACCACCAGTCTTGCCCTACGTTTTTTTTAGTATACCTATTTTGGTAATATGGTGTTTCCAGATTCTACTTGTGCCTTGCACATTGTGAGGACTCATTAAATATTTATTAAGTTAATGAGTGATTAACTGTTTGAAGAAGAGAAAGATTGTCGTGAGTGATAGGTAGAGTGAGTGATGATTGAGAAATTGATGGATTAGTGCAATGGATTGTGAATGAATGATGCTTTCTAGCTTCATAATACTTGCAGAGAGCTATTGCATTTAGAATAAGTTCCTTTAGATTGTTTTTCTTCATTTAATTACCTTTGTTTAAATTTGTTAAATCTCGGGCAAGACATGCAGCTCTATAGTTATCAATTAACTGTACTTTAATGTATATTAAAAATCCATAGAGCTAATGGAACCCACTTGCATTAGGAACACTACTTTCTGTTCATTTATGATATTAGAGAACAGAGCTTGCATACAGAGCCAGAGCCACTTTTGATCATCTGAAGAAATTCTTTGATTTCAGTTACTTGCTGATTTTTATACATGAATAGTCATTTTATGCTTCTTTTTGCCTCCCAGTTTGAACTATGGATCTTTTAGATATTTCTTAAACCTGTATGAGACATTTTTTTGAGCTTCAACATTTGATACATATTGGTGTCCTCTTTTTCTTTCCTAGATTTTACATTTTATTACCTCTTTAGAAACTCTGGGCCCATACCTTAAGTTACATTTCTTATTCCTATGGTATGTATATAATTTAAATTAAAGGCTTCCTTAATTATTAATAGGATTAAATGTGTACCAGTTATCACTAAAAGCCACTGAAGTCTTCAAATAAGGACTTACGTGACATGCGACATGGAAACAAGTTTTTTTTATTTTTATGCAGCAGTTTGTAGGAAAGCGTATATGATAAACTTTGTCACTTAGATATGTTGATATGTTTAAGTCATGCCAACTTATGCATGTTGGGTCACACAGATGTGTGTCTGTGTGTGTGTAAAGAACTTTTAACTGTGGTGAACAAATTGTCTAATTTTTTCTTATATAGCACAGATGGTATCTGATTAGAAGTGCAACTACCACCTACTGTTCAGCATCTAATCTCTACCTTTGTTCCCCTCAACTATAGAAGATATAGTTCTAAAAGGAAGTAACATATGATCTTTTTTTTTTTTTTTTTTTTTTTGGCAAAAAGCCATTTTAAGCTTACTGGTAATTTGTTACTAGAAAGATATGTTTTAAAACTTTTAAGATATTTAAAGTATGTAAGAAATTTTGAACCACATTATAACAACTGAACCTTTTGTCTTTTGAATAAATTTCTCAAATAGAACTGTGCAAACCCTAGCACTTTATGTGCTACTACCTCCCCACATTTCGGTGTGCTCTGTAGTGAGCTTCTATTTAATGGAGAAGTGTGTGGAGGCACTGGAAAGTTTAGGCAAATTCAGTGTCATGAAGGTAATGAGCAAGAAAAATCAACCCCAAGAATTCTACTTACCGTCACCCAATATCTTTTAAGAAATAACTGTATACACTGTGTTAATTCGAGTGCCTTTCTTACTTTTTTGGGGAGCAAGATTATATTTAACTCAAACATTACAGTTAAATACTGTAATGTTTGAGTAGAAAACAGAGGACGGAAGTTTTATCAAATAGTTGTTGATTGTGGCCCATTGTTTTTTATTCCTGTTGCTAGGCATGGTCCCAAGAGGTGTTTTATCCTTTGGTGAGATACTGATATTAATATAAGTAGGCAGCATGCTTTGATTTATATTTCATTAGTTATCATCTTTAAGCACCCCACCAAGAATTAGTTCTTTTTCTCTGACAGCTAACATTTTGTGGGTTGGAAAGCATCCCAGTTACAGGGCAGTGTGTGTACAATTAAAGATCGGCCTGAAACCTGTGTTCAAAGGGAAACAGTAGCACTTCACCTAAAATAAAGGCCAGGTGGTTGTCCTAAATGAGTCCTTTGCTTTACTTTAAGGACCTTCCTTCCCTCCCAAATCAGGCCTAATATAAGATAGCTGAAAGTGGGAAAAATAGGAATTATTTTCTTTTAGCTATTGGAGGAAAAGAAGTAAATACTGAGATAAAATTTTAAATGTGTTATTTTATATATTTGTGTATGGAGAGGAGAGAGGAATTCCATACTTCAAGACAGCAAATAATTATTCATTGTAATTTCATAAAAATAAATAACTAAAGATTCCAAAGTGCTTTACAGAGAACTGTTGAATAATATACTCCTAAAGGGCACCAATATGCCATATTCATAGTGGAGACAGAAAACCAGTGTGTCAGTTCTGGATCTGTGGTGGGAGGGAAACCTCAGGCTCCCAACTTTGACTTCTCTGCTCTCACCAGGCCATGTTAACACTGTAAAACCAAACTCTTTGCTAAAAA